GATAGATAGATAGATAGATAGATAGATAGATAGATAGATAGATAGATTTATAGATATAGACAGAAGGCAGAGATAGACAGGAAGATGAGGGAGAGATAGATAGATAGATAGATAGATAGATAGATAGATAGATAGATAGATAGATAATAGATAGATAGATAGATAGATAGATAGATAGATAGATAGATAATAGACAGACAGATAGATAGTAGATAGATACAGACAGACAGATGATAGATTTATAGATATAGACAGGTAGATGAGAAAGAAACAGAGACAGAAATAGAAAGATTAGATAAATAGATGATAGATAGATAGATAGATAGATAGATAGAAATTGAGACAAATAGCATATAGTTATATATGTGTGGCCTTATGCTAGCCTGTGTGATCACAATAAATTGATTTGATTTATACGACCCTGTCTCCATCTACAAAAAAAGAAGTCAGATAAATGATAGATAAAGAAAGAGAGGGGGGGATGATAGATAGATGATAGATCAATATAGACAGAAAGAGAGAAAGATATAAAGAGTGTGATGATAGAGATATGTCTTCATTTACGAAGAGGCTCTTTCCTTCCATCTGTTGGACAGCTCCATTTGGCCCACTCTAAGCCAGGCTAAACAAAGATTCCCACCCACTTCTTTTAGCTGGCCAGAATAATGCAGTTTACAGCTCAAACCAAACTAAAATCTGATTTTTCTTGATGTCCTGGGTCAGTTTCTCATTGCCATCCACCCTGGTTTCTCCACATTTAGGGCTGGATTTTTTCCAGCTCTTCCTTTCCTGAAGGGAAATTCTTTTGAAAATGATGGAAGCATACAAAATGGAAAGATTTAGTCTGATTCACTATGGTTGGAGAAGTTGATGGAAGTTGCTAAGTTGACTAAATTGGCTTTTTTTTTCTTTTCTGCCTTGAATTATTTATAAAAATAATAAAGATCAGATTAAAAAATTAAAAATAAAAATACCGTAGGAGGGCCGAATTCTTTTCTTCTGATTTGGCAGCTACGGTAGTTTCATTATGATGGTGTCCATTTTAGTTCCTGTTTTTCTGTCATTCTTCTTCTGTTGTTGTGATAATTGTTTGTAGCGTTTCCCTGGATTTTTATTTTTATTTTTAAATGTTGTTCTTCTTTCTGGCAGCTTTGATGTGTTTTGTTTTAAAAAGCCGTGTACAAATGGTAGTAACTATTTATATTTATTTTATTTTATTTGTTTGTCAAGCATGTATTAGATAACAAATATAAGTATAAACATGATTATTAATATATGAAATGGATACGAATAAAATGGAAACATTAGGACAGGGACGGTAGGCACCTTGGTGCGCTTATTCTCAGGAAGGACAGGATAATCTTGCCCTTGCAGGCAAAATGTGTACTTTCTGTCATTTTTAGATTTATTTTTTTTAAAAAGCAGAAGCCAGAGACGAAAATAACAATTTGGTTCATCAGCCCGAAACTCGCTCGAAACTATTTTTGGGTGGGGTAGCATAGACGTTAGAAGCCAAAAGTTGATTTTGTTTGCAGTTAAATTCGATTTCGGTTTTTGGAATAGAAAACTCAGAAATATCTCTAATGAGTGAGGCACGTTTGGGTGGCCCTTTGGGATTAAACAACGTTGGACGGGCTGGTTAAATGGCCCCATCTCTCTTTTCAAAGAGCTTTTATAGCTTGCTTTCAATGCTTGGCAGTTGTGGTGTATGTGTGTGCATTCAAAGGCAGAGAGAGATGCCTTCATGCTGCTATCTCTGCAGCTGTAGAAACATCTGTGTCCTCACTGTGCCAGGGGAAACTCCCCAGCAACCTAAATTAACACAAGTTGGTGTCAGAAAGCCAACCAGCAGACCGCCATGACAGCAGGGTGATTTAAAAACAAAAGACAAAGTTGGCTGAAAAATGTGTAACTTTGGAAGATATCCAGAAAGCTATTTTTTAATAGATTTGTGTATTAATCAACGGTACAGCATATAGCTGCTTGTCTGTGTGGTAGGAATAAAGAAAAATGTTGAAGGATTATATCCTTCTTCATACAAGGCTGAGGATGAGTTTCCTAATTTCTTGGCTTAACAGATTTATCTCCATTTCTATCATCATGTCCATGTCCACCATTTCTCCACCTCTATCTTTATCTGCATGTCCATGTCCATCTCTCCATCTTCATTTCCCCATTTCTCTATCTTTATGTCTATGTCCATGTCCATCTCTCCATCTCTCTTTCTCTCTATGTCCATCTCCATCTCTCCATCTCCATGTCCATCTCTCCACCTCTCTTTCTCTCTACCTCCATCTTTCCATGTCCATGTCCATCTTTCCATCTCTCTATGTCCATTTCCATCTTTCCATCTCTCTATCCCCATTCCACCTCCTCATCTCCCTCTGCATCTCTCCATCTCTATCTCCATGTCCATATCCATCTCTTCATCTTCGTCTCCCCATTTCTCCATTTTCCCATCTGCATCTCCACCTCTAACTCTCCATCATCTCCATATCCAAAGCCAGGCCCTGTAGACAATTTATTATATCAATTACATTCAGCAGTCCATTTGCTTGGCATATTCTTCCTTTCTCACTTGTGGAATGACTTTTCAACATTTTATTATCTGGAAGAAGAAAAAATTGTGAGCTTGTTGTAACCAGTCTCTGGTTAATCTTCCTTTTCTTTTCTTCCTTGGCAACTTTAAGACTTGTGGACTTCAACTCCCAGAATCTGAGCTAGTTATGGTGTCAACCCTTCTAGGTAGCCCAAGTCAAGGATGACTGATGTCTGTGTTTTTGTATATGTCTCTCTGTGTGTATTTCTACACAGGAAGTGTAGATGCACCACCCATTGAAGAACACTTCCTCAATTTCCTGGCACAGTTCTCTAGTGATGAGAATGTTGGTTCACTTCTGATTAAACTCTTCTGTGATTTCTGAACCAAAACCCAGAACGAACCTCAACAACCCAGAAGCCGGGCCGATGACATCCTGCAGCCCCGAGAAAGCATCAAAGCATACAAGAAGCAAGTAGATCACACCAAGGAAGCACCAGATCCACCAGGAATTATTCCTTCAGAATCAGGAGCTCAGCTGGACATCGGGGAACGAGCAGAGAAAGAGAAAGTCACAGTAAGTCTCGAGTTCGTTCTACTTCAGATGTTTGGCTTTTCTTTCGTCCCGAGATAGGGGACGGTAGGAAGAGCTGGTGGATTCCTGATCTGGAACCCCTTCCCTTCTCCAAATTAAGGATCAGGCTCTATTCGATGGAAGAGGCACACAAAATTATTCCTGGCCTACGGGAAGGATCTTGAGCAATTTGGGGAAAAGGTTTGCTGCCATCATGTTCCCGCTTTTCAAAGGAGGAGGCCCACAAAATGACAACAGCGATCAAAAATTCTCAGGCTAAGTCAAACCATTATGTAAACTTGAAATAGAGTAGAATAGAATAGAGTAGAGTAGAGTAGAGTAGAGTAGAAAATAGAATAGAATAGAATAGAATGGAATAAAATAGAATAGAGTAGAAATTAGAATAGAATAGAATAGAATAGAAAATAGAATAGAATAGAATAGAATAGAATAGAATAGAATAGAATAGAATAGAATAGAATAGAATAGAATAGAATAGAAGAATAGAATAGAATAGAATAGAATAGAATAGAATAGAATAGAATAGAATAGAATAGAATAGAATAATGGGAAGGGACCTTGGAGGTCTTCTACTCCAACCCCTTGCTTAGGCAGGAAACCCTACATATAATTTCAGACAAATGAATAACAATCAAAACTTGAAAAAGTACAGCCCAAAAGGTTGTGATCTTCATTTTTTGATCTGCTGCCCTTTGGCCTGCTTGAAATAAGAAATCACCTTCCCTCAAACCATTTTTCTTCCTGGATCCCCGGGGGAACAGAGATCGTTGGTAGGGATCTTGGAGTCTTAGTGGACAACCAGTTAAATATGAACCAACAGTGTCCGGCAGCAGCCAAAAAAGCCAATGTAATCCCAAGTTGCATTAACGGAGGGATACAGTCAAGATCAAGTGAGGTACTAATATCACTTTATAAAGCCTTAATAAGGCCACACCTAGAATACTACACCCAGTTTTGGTCACCACACTATAAAAAAGGATATTGAGATTCTAGAAAGAGTGCAGAGAAGAGCAACCAGGATGATGAGGGGACTGGAGGCTAAAACATACGATGAACGGTTGCAGGAACTGGGCCTGGCTAGTCTAGGGAAGAAAAGGACCAGGGGAGACAGGAGAGCAGCCTTCCAATATTTGAGGGGCTGTCACAGAGAGGAGGAAGGGAGTCAAGCTATTTTCCAAAGCACCAGAAGGCCAGACAAGGAAGAATGGATGGAAACTGAACAAGGAGAAATTCAACATGGAAATAAGGAGAAATTTTCTGACAGCGAGAACAATCCACCAATGGAACAATGGAACTTCATTACCAGAAGCTTTCAAGAAGAGGCTGGACTGACCTCTGTCAGAAATGGTGTAGGGTCTCCTGCTTGGACAGGGGGTTGGACAAGATGACCTACAGGGTCCCTTCCAACTCTTGTTAGATGTTCGGTCTGTTAGATCACGGGTGCAGACACCAAGTTTGGGTAGTTCTTGAGAAGCGGAATGGTTGTGAGGTCCCATCGAAGACAATTCATCCCATTTTCCTTTACAGCCCCCCTTTGTGAGGCTGAGGAGACTGGCGTTGAAGGAAGACCCTTCCCCACGTCCAGAGAGGGGAAAGGAGGTAACAGAATGGGTGGCAAGAGGCCTGGTGAAGATCCAAGTTTGTTTGTGTCATGTTTCTGAAGGGTTCATCCCCTGCCAATCAGAGCTTCTGTGTCTTTGTGGTGACGGGACCATGTTGTATCACCTTGTGGTGGGCACTCTGTTGGGACAAATTAACCCCCCCCCCCCTCCCAAAAGTGTATTAGACAGAACCAACATTTGTCTGATCTTTGTTTATGAGCATTTTTAAATTTTTTTAAAATCCCTTAAGATCACATTGGGCCAGAATTTCCATTGCCAACCAAGAGGGTTATGCCTTATTTTACTTATTTAAGCAAATCACTTCAGACGTTAAGTGAATCATGTGGTCATTAAGCAAATCTAGTTTCCTCCCTTGACTGCTTGTCGGAAGCCTCCTTTGAATTTTGAGGAGGGAGGATGGTGAATTTCCCTGCATTTTCTTTAAAAAGTGACATCCAAGTTTGATTCACAGCCGATAATTTAGATGGGGACATTTGAGTAATAAACCAGTTTCCTAAAATAGGGGACGGATCAGTTTTTTTCCAGTAAGCAAATAGGTTAGAACTGGACTTTCCTCCAACCAGGATTAATGGTTTCTGGACAAGCCAGGATGTGAAGTGGATTCCAAGCCATGTTTATTATTTGACTGAAAAATTAGACCCGTTTTGGACCCCAATCAAACCAGAAACCATGGTTTGCAAGCTACCTCTGTTGGCTTACCCAACCCAACTCCAATATTTTGGAGGACCATATCTCAGCCACCTTCTTGGTCACGGATGATGGTATCGTTGTGGTTGGTTCGCCCAAAGGAATAAGTCAAATCATCTCTACTTTCCCTCGATCCATAGTTAGATACCCCAAATATTCAGTGGGAAGTGGTGAAGGATCGACGGTCTTGGCTCCAAGTCTTGGATATCTCAAAACCACAAAGTGGTAAGGTTGGACATCTGGAAGACACAACCATACCTGGCCTGCGAAGACTAGGTGAAACCCGGAGGGAGTCGAGACAGGAGACCTGGACGGATATCACCCCAAGAATCAAGGTGCCCCCAATGAAGAAGATGGAGAATACCAAGTTGCCACGAAAAGCTTCACCACCAAAAGAAGTCCACCATAAATGGTTCAAGGTACAACCTGAATTGTATAACCTTCAACTCCCTCTCTCAGTGGCAGTATTTCTAAGTCTTGGGAGCCCTTCCAACTCTGAAAAAATTATGGGGGGATCCCAAAGATGGTCGTATGGGTGATATTGATCAGGATTTCCCATGTTAAAACACTAAAATGGACCAATTTGTGGAATATCGATGGATTCATTCACAAAGGAATTGCAAACATGGCTGGCTGGGGAATTCTGGGAGTTGAAGTCCACCCCTTTTAACGCGGTCTGGCTGGGGAATTCTGGGAGTTGAAGTCCACCCCTCTTAAACCATGCTGGCTAGGGAATTCTGAAAGCCACCCCTTTTAAAGCCTGCCAGCTGGGGAATTCTGGGAGTTGAAGTCCACCTATCTTAAAGCAGTTGGTTGGAGAAATCTGGGAGTTGAAGTCCACCCCTCTTAAAGCATGCCCATGGCTGGGGGATTCTGGGAACTGAAGTCCACCCATCTTCAAGTGATCAGCTTTGAAAAAAACGCTATCCTAAATCTACCTCTCTCGTCTTGCCTCACATTTTCTCCTTAGCACACCTTCTCTTGGTGGTCTCTTTGTTTTCTTCTCTTCTTCCTCCTCCTGATCCTTTCCTGCTGGCTTGTATGGAAGCAAAAAGTCCCCGCTTCTCTCGTACTCGGAAACGGCTCTTTAATATGGAAAAAATTTACAACGCTTTGGAACGGGGCGGAAGAATGCAGCGCACAGTGCAGGCAAGTTCTCTGCGTTTATTTTATATGCCTAGAAAATGTGATGACCCAAAGGGGTGTGGCCCAAAAGCAACCAAGTCACAAAAGTAGGTAAAGTCCCTTTAATTCCTCCAACTTGGCCCCCAATGTCCAGTTATCATCGGCTGGAGAGAAAAAAAACTCTCCCGAGAACAGTTTTTAAAGGGAAGAAATTTAGTTTGAACTCAAAGTACATATAAATTATAAATAAAAACCAACACAAACCACGCTGCAGCAATTAACGAGACAGGGCAGGATAAGGAATTGCAGAACACAAAAGATAATGAAACACATACAGTTGCGAGGACGCCAGAACCCAGGTAGGACACGACAAACGAAGATAATGCACGCTTTGCTTCCAGCAAGGTGCTGTGCGCAAACACCCTTTTTATCCTGTTTTCCCAGCTGCAGCTAATGAAGGGAATCAGGGCCTTTTTCTCCCCCGTAATCCATGTTGCTCCCTTATCCGTTCCTCCCTGCGTGCCCTAGGATGCAGAGAGAGTGGGCCTGGGTCTTCCTCTGAATGCCCAGCCGGACTGTGTCCTTCCCCAGTTTCTTCCACAGCCACCGGAGCCACACTTCCACTCCTTATTAGCTGTTCGACTTCCTCCTCAGAATCAGGCTCCCAACAGGGGCATGAGAGAAAAACTCCTCCAGATGTTGGTTCCCAAGGCTGGGTCATCTCCATCGCTCCTTGACCACCTGGGTTTTAATCCTCCTTTCTCTCCTTACTAGCCTGGTCCTTCTGGAGAGCATCCCAGACAGCTTACAGTATCCGCCTTCAAGTCCTCAAAATCCCACCATTTACGAAGGGTGGATGGATCTCCTCTCGGAAGCCAACCGCGTGGTGGAAATCGCAGCTTTTTATTTTACTCTCCGAGATTCCGATTTGCAGATGGAAGATTCTTCAGCGAAACAGGTCAGTTTGTCCTTGAGGACGCGGGGGTAAAAGGATCCACTCTGGATCTCTTGTTTAGTCTAAGCCTCATGTCAAGAAGTGGGGAATAGAATAGAATAGGATTCAGAATAGAATAGAATAGAATAGAATAGAATAGAATAGAATAGAATAGAATAGAATAGAATAGAATAATGAAAGAATAGAATAGAATAAAATACAGTAGAATAGAATAGAATAATGAAATAAATAAATAAATAAATAAATAGAATAGAATAGAATAGAATAGAATAATGAAAGAATAGAATAGAATGAAAGAATAGAATAGAATAATGAAAGAATAGAATAGAATAAAATACAGTAGAATAGAATAATGAAATAAATAAATTAGAATAGAATAGAATAGAATAGAATAGAACAGAACATAATAGAATAGAATAGAATAGAATAGAATAACAAAATTGGAAGGGACCATGGAGGTCTTCTAGTCCCACCCCATGCTCAGGCAGGAAACCCTGCCTATACCATTTCAAACAAATGGGCAGAGCGTGGTGATTCGCAGCGACCAGACAGAGGCAAAAGAAGTGATAAAATTGAGTGTTTGTCCCATGATGTCTCACTTAACAACTGTGCCACAATGAATTTTCCAATCTCCTTTTTTGGCCGTAAGTTGAGCCCAACCAAGCTCCAAGAGTTATTGGAGAAGGAGAATGGAGCTGCACAGATGAATGGCCTGACGTCTGAATGGGCTCGGCCGGCATCCCCTTGGTCTAGGACCAAGTCCCACAAGTGTCCTTGTGTTGTGTCACTCCGCAGGGCCTGGAGGTGTTCAATATGCTGCGTAGCCTGCCTTCTCGTGGGGTGAAGTTGGAGGTGGCGGTGAATAGCCCTCAATCGTCCGAAGATGACACTGATGAATTGACCCGTGACGGTAATGTATCTCTAGGGAGGTGGCAGAATAACAGAATTGGAAGGGACCTTTGGAGGTCTTCTAGTCCAGCCCCTGCTCAAGCAGGAACCCCTATAGAATTCCAGACAAAAGTTTTGTCCCGTCTCTTCTTTAAAAAAACTCCAGAGTTGGAGAAGGAAGGGAGGAAGGAAGAAAAAAAGAATAGCAGTATAACAGAGTTGGAAGGGACCTTTGGAGGTCTTCTAGTCCACCCTCCTGCTCAGGCAGGAAACTGAACCGTTTCAGACAAATGACTGTCCAATCTCTTCTTGAAAAACTCCAGTAATGGAGCACCGATGGCAGCAATAGAAATTTTCGTCGTAATTCGAGGATTACCTTAGTATGATATGAAGAAAAATGCCAAGTAACCCAAGTGGGGAAAATGGAAGGAAATCATCTTCCTCGTTTGATGGTTTTGCTAAAAAAATAAAAAAAAAGGGGGCATTTATTTCCGGTTTTCGCCAAAAACTGCATCCCTAGCTGAGCATCGCTGAACGCTTAATGGTGTCCGCTTAACGACCAGTGCGAGGCGGGTTGCAAAACGAGGGCAGTCACCTGGGTGATCCGATTTACATCCTACGACCGGAATGCGCTGGCTCCAAATTACAGCCGTTCCTTGAAGGTGACTTTAATACAGCAGGAATGAAACACAGCGAGAAACGTCGCTGGGAATGGGAAGAAAACCGGCGTGTTTGACGGTGCCGGCGGTAAAAAAAGATTCGTTTACATCTCGCTCTCCAGGCGCAGACGTGCGATACGTGAAGATGAAGGAACTGACCGGCGGGATCGTGCACACCAAACTGTGGGTCGTGGATCGGAAACACCTCTACATTGGCAGTGCCAACATGGACTGGCGTTCCCTTACTCAGGTATTTCCTTCGGGGCAGGCGTGAAAAGAGGAGTTCTGGATTTACAACCATTTCTTTCGCGACTGTTCGGACACGGCAATCCTTTCAATTGTGTGACGGTTGTCGAGTAGCCAGGTGTTGTGGCCCCTCCCGCAGCCGAATCGGAGGAGGAGGTGTGGGAGGATCACCATCAGGGCAACCAGGGAGCTCCGAGGGGGAAGAGGAAATGGAGCTGGCAGAGAGAGAGAGGCAGAGGCAGAGCCTGGGCCGTCCGTCAGCCCTCAGATGGAGAGTCAATAGCCCCCAGGTCTGGAGGTGGCTGATGAGGAAGAGGAGGAACAGCTGGGTCC